ATTCTCAGTATCTTTAGTATAGCAGGATGATACATGTGTGCTTTATAAATGTATTTTGCCACCCTGAGAATTTTTTCATGGTTATCAAGGAGGAATTAAATGAGAATTCTAAACCTAGTGGGGAAATTTAATGGCGAAGCAATGTTGCCCATAAGGTAAGAAGTTTAACAAAAGCCACAGAGAGAAGACTGTATGATTAATGAAATACTTCTATTTAAATACCTGGGGCTCTTTAGTGTGACCTAAAAACCTGTCTACAGTTTTACAAATGTTGTCCTAGATAGCACATTATGAAAAGTATTGATAATATGACCATTATAGTATTGAAATTGTATCACTGGCTAAATACACACATGAATATATGTGTGTGTATACATATATTGGTTAAATTACTTTTCTCTGGAGATTTATATAAAAATAGCTCACGTCCATTGCCCATCTTTTGTCTGAAACTTACACGGATCACACCAAGATTCCTGTGAGTTTTCTGGTCTCCATTTCTATGATCATTTAACACACTCATTCACCTATCATGTCCTGTGACTATTCTTCCATTTACTCCTACCAACCTGGGTTCAAAGACAATTCTTTGTATTGATTTTTCTCACACTGTCCCACAAACATTTGTGTGTAGCAGAACTGGCTGATGCTTTGAGCAGTGACGTTATGTGGTGGGAGCGTTGGTATTGGTTGAGAGGTGGAAATTGTCGAAATACCAACAGCTTAGAATTGGATGTTGGACATTCAAATTCCAATAAATCCTTAGACCAGTGCACTCCTGGGAATTTCTCTCTGACCACGTTCCTCTATGGATGCCAGACTTTTGCCATGTTATTGTCTTTAGACTTCTAAATCTCCCTGATCTTAATTTCCCACCATCATTGTCGTCTTAGTCGAAAAAGTCACAGATGTTCACAGACGTGCAAAGAGTCACTCACTCTGGACCCCACTTGGAGTCCCATGGAACTGGCAGAGGTTTTGAATTTTAGTTTTGTCTCTCTTTCCCTCACTGAGCTCCACAGAAGATAGAATCAGTACAGACACATATTCCTCACAGTAGAAATAACTCCCATAGGAGATAGAAAAAACTAGTACAGTCAGTTCTGATTTGCATAATTATGTTGAACCGCTTGTATTATTTATGAGTGATGCTATCAAGAGGGACAAATAAGAGACTACATTATGAATCATTGAATAAAACAGGAAATAAACATCTATATAATTTGGAATAACATGGGTAAAGGATTTCCTTAACTTATGCATAAATGTTTCAATTAACCTTCAGATTTTGTTCTGTAAGCCTTTTTGCCTTGCTCCTGTATATGTCTAGCAGGGAAAAGAAGACACATTGAGGAAGAAATGAAAGTATAGCATGGAGATAGTGTGATTTGTTGAACATCAATCAGCAGCAGTAGTGATTAGTGTACATCCTTCTTTGGGTGCTTTGCTTTTAAATGTAGGACATATTGTTCTATTTCTTCTGTCTTCTTGTCCTAATATGTAAGAATTGCAGAGACTGACTCCACAAACACTAAGATCTCACTTTCATTTCTGCAGGCAAAGGGAATGACTAGAGATTCTCTTCTCTTCTCTTCTCTTCTCTTCTCTGTCTTCATGTAAGCAGGGGTTCTTGGTAGTCAGGAGTTGTTACAACCAGGATGCTGTAATCTTATGTCTGACATTACTACCTTGTTTGAAAGTGACAGATTAGTCATCAGTTGTGGAAATGTTATTACACTGAAATGAGAAAAGTTTTTCAGTGATGGCCATGCGTGCTGCTTTCTTTGACAGTTTTCAAGTAATCTATGTGAAGCTAGGAAAATCAAGCAGCATTCCTATTAGATACAAGATAAATACCTATGCCAACAGTGCTCCTTATACATTTTAAAATAAATTATTGCTTTTAATTTTTACAAAATAATTGTGCCATGTTATCGTAAATAAACAGTAGGAAAGGGCCCTCACTGGTGTCACCGCAGGTTAAAGCACAGCACT